GAATTGCATGAACCCAGGAGGCAGAGGTTGCAGCAAGCTGAGATTGAACCAGTGTACTCCAGCCTGGACAACAGAGTGAGAGTCTGTCTCAAAAAAAAAAAACAAAAAACAAAAAAAGTAAAGGAATTCAGGCCCCCTGTGTGCTTACTACTACCTGACCATGGCTCCTACAGTGGAGACAGTAGAACACCCCTGCCTGGAGAAGAGTCCTGTCTTGAAGACAGGGCTGACGGCTGGTAGGCCTCATCATAAGGACAGCTGTCACCATTTCTTTTTCTTTTTCTTTTTCTTTTTCTGAGATGGAGTTTTGCTCTGTCACCCAGGCTGGAGTGCAGTGGCACGATCTTGGCTCACGGCAACCTCTGCCTCCCAGGTTCAAGCATTTCTCCTGGCTCAGCTTCCCGAGTAGCTGGAATTACTGACATAAGCCACCATACCTGGGTAATTTTTGTATTTTTAGTAGAGATGGGGTTTCACCATATTGGCCAGGATGGTCTTGAACGCCCAACCTCAGGTGATCCGCCAGCCTCAGCCTCCCAAAGTGCTGAGATTACAGGCATGAGCCACCATGCCTGGCTAAAGAGTTGTTTGTTTGTTTGTTTGAGACAGAGTCTGTCACCCAGGCTGGAGTACAGTGGCATGATCTCAACTCACTGAAACCTCCACCTCCTGGGTTCAAGCAATTCTTGTGCCTCAGTGTCCCAAGAAGCTGGGATTACAAGTGTGTGCCACCACGCGTGGCTAATTTTTTTTTTTTTTTTTTGTAGTGATAGGGTTTCACCGTGTTAGCCAGGCTGGTCTTGAACTCCTGACCTCAAGTTATCTACCCACCATGGCCTCCCAAAGTGCTGGGATTACAGGCGTGAGCCACCGAGACCGGCCTAGCGCTCACTAATTGAACTTTCTCTCTGCCAGGCATTCATCTAAGCACTTTGCATATATTAATCCTGCACTAAAATAGTCATCTCCTTTACAGCTAGGGACATCAAGGCAAAGAGCATAAGCACCTTGCCCAAAGTCACACAACTAGTAAGTGGCTGAACCAGAAATCAAACCCAGACAGGCCCCCAGCGCACGTGCTCTGCTGTTTGCCGTGCTGCCCTGCCTCAGGAGGAGGAGCCTGACCACCCCATTCACGTGTTGGCCAGGGAAGCTATGTCGAGGAGGAACCCCCACCCCACCATATTTCCAGCAGTGGAGGCAGTGATCATTTCCCACTCTGGGCAGTGGGGTGCTGGGCAGTTGTGGGCAGCCGTGGGCACCCATGGACCCAGGGGCTCTGCCACAGCTTTGCTTGGGCCCAAGGCCCTGTGAAGAAGCCTTAAGCCCCGCCAGACCACCTGCCTGATTCCCTGCAGTCTTCCCCCTGCATCCTCTGCTAAAGCAGTCCCCTCCTTGACAACCCAGCTCCTGGTCTGCCAAGGAAGTAGCCTGCCTGGGTGACCCCTGCCTCCTCAGGGCCTGGGGAGAAATGCTGAAGAAAGGGCCATGGCCACTCTGCTGGGCTTCTCTCCCCGCACTTCCCAGCCCGGAGGATCCTTTCAACCTGGGGCCTCCGGGTCCTCAGGCCCCTCCTGTGTCCTGTGAAGGGCCTGTCCTGAAGACAGCCTGTGCCCTCTGTCACCACAGCGTTAGGCTCAGGCCACCAGGAGGCTTCTTTGGCCTCTGGCAGCCCCAGCTGTGGTGGCCCCATTCCACCCAACACACGCACAACACACATGCACTCAACACACACATCCACATACACCCATCACATGTACACAGTACATACACTCAACACACAACACCCCCATACATACATACACTCAACACACACATCCACATACCCCCCACATGTATGCAATACATACACACACCCAATACATATATACACATTCACACACACCCATCACACATACACAACACATACACATGCACTCAACACACATACACAATACATACACTCAGCACGCACACAATATCCACCCATACATACACTCAACAGACACATCCACATACCCCCAACACATGTACACAGTCCATACACTCACACAACACACACAACACATACATACACACAACACATCCACTACACCTGACACATATACACAACACATAATGCACATGTACTCAACACACATCCATACACCCAACACATGTACTCAACACACTCAACACATACATCCAATACATACATTCAACACACATATCCACATTACCCAACATGTACACAGTACACACACTTAACACACATACAACACACACCCAGCACATACATACACTCAACACACACATCCACTACACTCAACACACATACATAACACATAACACACGTACTCAATACACATCCACTCAACACACATCCACATACATCCAAAACATGTACCAAATACATGCGCTCAATGCACATATCCATTACATACGTACACTCAACACACACATCCATATCCACATCCAACACATATATACCCAACAAACACACATTACACACATAAACACCCCACACACACTTAACACATACCCAACACGCATAGACTTAACACACACGCACACACACACACCTTGTGTCCGTGCTTGCCCATCTCCCGCAAGCCCAGCCACCAAGAAGAGACCTGGCCCCGGGACTCAGTAGCAGGAGCCAGTCTGCCAGGTCCTATGGAGAATGTATTTGGGGGGTGAGGAGTGACTGTTGAGGCCGGATGGCCTAATAGAATGGAGGGGGGTGGCGATGAGCAGGGGAATGGGGCCAGGAGGCCTGCTGTGCAGGATGCTGGTGCAAGCTCTGTCCCCTCCCGACCAGGAGGCTCCTAAGGGACTGGGCCAGGTGTTGGCATGGCCCTGGCGTTTCATTAGGAGGGCAGAGAGGCAGTGGGGGTGGCGGCCGCGTGAGGGGCAGCCCAGGTAGCCCTGCCCCTTCAGCCCCTCTTCTCACCTGCCACTCCGGCTTACCCTCCCTCTCCAGGGTGGAGATGAAATTCCAGCCCTCAGCAGCATCTTATGCTCCACCTGCAGCAGGAGCCTTTATCTAAGATTAAGAATAATGGATACCTTTCTTGGATAAGTTTTTTTTTTTCTTCCTCTTTCAGACTTTTTGTCCAGAATAGACCTTTTGTTAACAAGTCTTTTTATTGACTACACTCCCCTCCCCAACTCTGTTCCTCCTTCACCCTCCCTGCAGCCTTTCCTCCGTGCTTCCGAGGACACCTTCCATTGTAAGTGCGTGGTAAGGAGTGCCAAGGAATGACTCGCCTTCGTCCTCTCCCTCCAGTGCCCCCTGGGCCTTGCTCTAACAGCAGCAGAAGCCTGGGTGTCCTGGGGGTTGGGACAGAGAGAAATAACTTGACTTCTTATTTTTCTTCAGCAATGTCTGCCAGGACCCTCATCTTCAGAAATCTAGATCCTACCTGGAAGACACGGGGAGAGGACTCGGTTGGGGGGTCCCTTCCTTGGTCCACCTCTGGGTTCCTTGCTGCCTTCTGGGGAAGGGAGGGCCTCCAGTCACCATGCGTGGTCTTCATGGGAGCTGGGAGACCTGCAGCCAGGGACAACCGTACATTCATTTCACCTGGATCTTTCTTTTTCCCCTTTCAACAGCCCTATTACCATATTTAAATGCAAGTATGTGTCTTTTCGTTGACATTTTAAGTAGCTTAGCCTGACCTTTTTAGAATAGCTTGTTCCCCTTTGAACTTCTTTCCCTTCAGTAGTACCGTGTAGCTAGGACAATAGTCTTAGTTTAGTGGGCTTCTAGTTTGCTGTGTTGGGGAGCTGTCTCCGCTTTCCTCCCTCCTCTGCTCCCTGCCCTCGACGATGCATGTCTTCCTGTTGTCCTGTAGAAGTTCCTTGCTTAAAAGGCTCAGTGGCTCAAGTTGAGCAGCCCTGTTGGGGGCTGTTGATTGAGTTTGCAGCTGGCTTCTGGCACATCATTTAAAACCACAGTCATTGGAAAAGGGTCTTGGGGTCAGACCTCCAAGCATCTGCCTGGATGGCACAGGGTGTCTGTCTTTATATGTAGGGGAGTCTATCTGTGTGTGTCCCAGCGCTAGTCTGTGCGTGCACGTGCTGGTGGCTGAGAGAAGCCCAGGGGAGGGGACTTGGCAGACTTCATCTGGATTCCGCAGCTACACAAGGCTACCCTCCTGGCTGTTATTCCCGTTGCTGGGACAGCCTTGCTACCCAGTGCATTTTTAGAGAGCATAAGCCTTGATCAAGAAGGACTCCAGAGACCCCCAGGAGACCCTCCAGTGCCAGCTTCATCTGGGCCATGGGGCTCCGACCGAAGAGCAGCATCTAAATTCATAGAACGGCTTCAGGAGGTTGAAACACAGAGATCAAATAAAGCCATAAGGCTCACCCCACATAGACCCCTGCAGCCCCGCACTCTCCCCCTCCCCATCTGGCTCCATGTATATGCGACTGGGACCCCCAAATACTTCACCCTCGGGTCTGGGGCTGTGATGCTGCTGACGTGATGTTAAAAGGCTGGAGTTTACAAGGCCACGCTGACCTTCGGAGCCTTTGGAGGACAGCTGGAATTAAGCCAGCTCCTGGCCAAGGTACCTGCTCTGTAGAGGCCGTCCCAAGTGGCCCCTGCCTGTGGCACAGGGCTGACCACGCTGCCAGGATCTCTGTGAAGAGCAGCGGGCCAGCCCGGCCATGCTCGGTTCTGCTCAGGACAACCCCAGGGAGCCACCGTGTGTCACTGCAGGGTCAACAGGGAGCTCAAGCCCGCTTCTCAAGAAAAAAAATCCTCCTACAATTCTTGAATTATTGTTGTAGGCCGTCTAGATCCAGCTTCTGGGGTGACAAATGGGTGAGAATCAAACACACCTAAAGATGCTGTGCCTTCCGGAAGCCTGACAGCCACTACTCTGTGTCCCTCTCAAAAGCTGCCCCATGAAAATCCCTTCCCACTCGTGTCTTTGTGCAGAGGGCGGGGGTTGTGTGGCCCGGGACCTAGGTCTGTGCTTGGCCCTTCCAAGGATTCCTCCTTGACGCAGGCTCCTCTCTCTCCTGGCCAGGCTTCCCGGCAGCGGCTTATGGACCAGTGGCAGCAGCGGCAGTGGCGGCGGCCAGAGGATCAGGTAGGAAGGTGTATGGGACAGGCGACTCCCAGGCATGCCCCCAGTGTGCAGGGGGAGGTCAAGGCCCTGTCGGATCTGTGTGGCTGCATCTGTCCAACACCACTCTCACCACAGCCCCGGGGAGGGGGTGGACAGGGAGGTGCAGGCGAAGCCTGGCCACCCAGGGCACTTGGAGTGGGATCAGTCACAGTCATGGGACTGCAAACCAAAGCTGCATTATTATTCTCTCCTTAAAAAAAAAAAAAACACACAAACCTGAGTTTCTTTTTGACTTTGACTGTCCCATCACCTGACAACTGGCTTTGGGTACCTGTGGTCATTTCCCTCCTTGGCTTTTGCTAATTCAACAGCCTCCTTCCCTTGGGTCCCTGAGCCAGCTAGAGAAGTGCTAGGCTGTCCCCTGGGCCCCTGCTGCGCTGGCAGGTGGGCTTGCTGTTCTGACTAAACCCCCAGAGCCCCTGAAAGCAGCCATGGGGCCAGCCCTGGGCCTCTGTGAATGAAGCTGCTGTTTCTGGAGCCCCTGTGCCAGGCCCCAGACTCTTCTTCGCCAGACGCCTTGGCTCCCGCAGCCAAGGGAATTGGGCTTTCTGTCCCACGAGGTTGCCCCAGCCCTTCAGTCACCAAAGCCAACCTTTCATGGGTCTGGAACCCTTCAAGCTGACATGGGAACATTTTTCCAGCATTATCATGGGGTCAGGCCAGAGCTGAGACATGTCCGGGATGCTCAGGGTCCCTTTTGTCCCTTCCCGCAAAGTGCTCTCTGCCTTCCCAGGTGAGCAGGGCTTCTGCTGTGCCCTGGGCCCCTCCCCACCCCTGCTCCTCCCTGAATGGAGTGCTCTCTGGTTGCAGCTCTCTCCCCCTACACCCCACGGACAGGGCTCTGGAGCACCCAGGGAAGTGCCCAGTTTGATGTAACAGGGCTCTGAGGAGGGTGGGGCCAGGCAGGGTGGGGGGCTGGTGAGGGTACCAGGAAATAGAGCATTAAAAGCCCAGAGGGCAAATGCCAAAAACCCACACCCTGGGTGATGAGAAGCTGGCACAGTGAGGCCCATTAGAAAAAGTCAGTAAAAATCCGTTCCATGCAAACTGGCACTGCCTCGAGCTACAAAGGATCCACTCCCCCGAATCATCCATTGAGGTTTTGTTTGGAGGGAACTAGGGAGTTCTCAGGGGCTGCCGAGGGGCAGTTTGCCAGAGAGCTGGCAAGTGGGCAGACTGCCAGGCAGGTCCAGAGAGCTGGGCCCCCTTCCTGAGCTTACGCTCACCACAGCCAGTGTCCACAGGCCCCACCTGCCCTCTGGCCAGTGTCCCTTGGTCCCCCCAGCCCCAGTCCCTGGGGGCGGGGTACACAGCTGCCTCCTGTCTCCCTGTGCCATTTGGTTTTTTACCTTGAGCACTTTTTGGTATCATTATAAACAAGCCTCGGTCCTACCTGTGCCTGGGGTTGGGGGAAAGATAAAAAGAAAACTCTTGAGATAAATTGAGTGTTGTTGATTGTTTTCTCCGTTCAGTTCCTTTCTTTTTATAACTTGGATTATGAAACTAAACTTTAACCCGAAATTAACCCTGCCTCTCTCCCCACCCCATCCCGTTCTCCTTGACTTCATGGCAAGTTTAAAGGGCAGCACGGGGTTCTTTGTGAATCTGAGAGCCGTCTCCCACGGTCTGTGCCCCTTCTGCCACCCCTCCCTCTCATGGACCCCCAGAGCCAGGCGGAGGCCCACCCACCCTCTAACTCCTAACCCCAGGGTCATTTCCAGCCACACTTTTTGATTTTTTATTTATTTATTTTTTTTTCAGGATCAGTGGTGTTTGATTTGTAGCCATTTCCATTGGGAGCAAAGTCTCTCCCAGCCCATTCTAGGTCAGCCATGCTCATCGCTGCACTGTTAGTGAACTGTATTCAGGAGCGGGCTCCTAGACCACCTGCCCACACCAGCCTGGGTTAGCACAGGAGTAAATCCTCAACTCCGAGGTGCCTGCCCCGCCCTCAAGGTGCAGGATCAACCTAGAAGCTACAGGGCAACCCTGCAGTGCTGCTGGGCGGGGGGTGTCAAGGGCTTGGGAGGTGCCCCAGGGCAATGGCTAGACTGTATCCACCATAGTGAGGGCACTGCCTGGGCAGGAAGACACCCGCCTGTGTGTAACCAGGCAACCCTAGTTCCTCAGCCCCCCTTTGGACCTGGAACAGGGTTACGGGTTTGGGGAAGGAAGCTCTCTGCCATTCTTTCTTTGACCACATTTTGCCAATAAGGGGACAGTCACCTCACTCCCTCTGGAAAATGATCGAGAAGGCAAGCCTGGTGGGATGGCCAATTATTTACCTGCCGGTGGCCTCTCGGTGCCAAAAGCTCTTTGCTCTGAATTTCGAGGGACCACCCAGACTCACCTGGGTGTGTGTATCAGTGTAGGCCACGAAGGGCTTGCTGGGGGTCGATAGCCTAGTTTCACCTTCTCCAGCTCCTGAAGCCCTGCCTGACCTACCCCAGCTCCTCCCCAGGGAATAAGGATGCTCCTGCAGCCTCGATTACTGGAGGTCGGCATGAACTCAACTGCATTCCCTTACAGGGAGATGCAGGGAGACATTCAGGGAGAGTCTGTTGGGTACCTACCTTGAACTTGGTACTGTGCTAAACCTGGCAGGTGACTCCAAACAGTGGGAAACGTGGCCTCTGCTCCCCAGGGGCTCTCGGGCTTCGTTTAGGGATCAGGCATCATCCTATGGAGAGCCCTGTTTTTGTCTTTGATTTTTGTCTAGCTCCACCATTTGGGGTATTTTTTTTTTCCTTCCATTATGACTTACGGGGGGGGAGCTTCCTGAGTTCGAGAAGCACTCGCTGAGGGCCGTGGGGTGGGAGGCAGCTTCGTTTTTGCTCAGGGTGGCAACTTGGATCCGTCAGGGCTATGGTGTCAGGGTAGGAGGTCCGGGGGTGGGGGGGCCTTGAGCTCTGTGCCCACCTCAGCCAACCCTCTGGGCCAGCCTGCCCACCTGTTCCTAATTCCCCCAGGACCTGAGGTGAGCAGGGCTCAGGGGACCCCACCAGGTGAGGTCCCTGCCGACTCCTAGATAACTTCACTATCAGTGGTCACTTTTCTTTTACCTTCACCTGGTAGTTTGAAATGTCATCTTTTCTTGTGCTCAGTGGAGAGTTTGTTTGTTTATTTTGATCGTATTCATTCAGTTCCAATGGCCCCATCCTGTCCCACCCAAACCTAAATTCAGTTTGGCAAAAGCCTTCCCCAGCAGGTGAGGGAGTGGTTCGGATATTCAGGGCATTTTAGTTTGGGGTGATATTATGGGTGGGTCCGTGTATCAATCTTAGAGCTTCTGAGCCCCTGGTACCACCCTGTCCCACCTCTCCCCACCCACCCGGCCCCAGCCAGGACCCCTTACTGTACTTTATACTTGCCAGCTTTATTCCAATCTAGTAACATGAGCTCCTGATGGTGGTGGTGAGTGTGAGCAGTCATGTTTCTGTTGTCTTTTCTCTTGCTTGGTTGGGGCTGCGGTGAGAGTGTCTCTGAGGCATACTTTCCCGCCTCTCTTACGCTAGGATCTGCACACCTCCTCTCAAACACTCTTCTGAGCACGCTCAGCGGGAAGGTTTGTCCACACCTATTAATCCTCTCTCAGTGTCCAGCTTCCTGTTAGTACCAGCTGGTTTGCATGTTTTTGCTTGTTCAGATGAAACAGTTCAAGAAACAAACTCATACCCAACTCTCCAGAAATGTCTTTTTTTGTACACTTTCGTTTTGATTTTTTTTTATTAGTTACAACTCCAAAACACCTGTTGTCCAGTAAAACATTTCACACCTCTCCTGCCTGTTCTTAGATTGTATGTATCTGTGGGACTGAACTAAATGCATGCACTGTAGTAGATGTTCTGGTAGCCGTAGCTGTAGCTGTAGTACATGCATTGTTGAGTTGATATTACAGGGTCTTTGACGGCTCAGCACAGCACAGCCGTCTGAAGGATAGTGCGGGGACCAGGAAGAGAAGGGGTTCCATATTTTCAATGTTTCCAAGGGGCTTGGATCCATGTTCTCACCATCAGCCACCACCACCTCCCCTCACACTCCCCACTCCCCCAGTCCAGAACTGGGTCACCACCCTCAGCTCTAGCCTTCCCCACTGAGATGTCTGTTGATGCCATCCAGTTGTAGTGCAAAAATGGAACCGGGATTGGAAGGACTCTGAAAGGTCTTCCTTGTTCTTGTCTTTCTCATACTTTTCTTGAGCAGAGCAGATCTTGTCTTGTTTCTTAAGGCCTACCAGCAGGACTCCTCCGAGGCCTCTACTCCTTGAGTCCTTTGGCAGGTCACAGCCAGCCCTTCAGGGATACAGGTTGGAGGTGGCAGTCCTGTCCCTATGGATTACTCCTTGGGGTGGAGAGGACATGAGGCATGGTAAGGAAGGGATTGAGATCTTGAGATCCTTGGTCTGCAGACAGGGAATGCACTTGGTCCTAGTGAATCATTGCCATTTGTTCTTAGGGTTGGTGAAGGTTAAGTAGAGTGAGAATGGTGACATTCTTAATAGGGAGGTGACTGGCTTAGTTTCATGGGGACAGGAAAGGAGGTGGGCTTGGAACATCCAAAGAGGAGCCACCCCAGTTTCCTCCAGCTCCCCAGGAGGGCTTCCTAGAGGGGAAAGGAGCAGTCCTTCAGCCTGTGTCCTTAGCGCAGGCCAGTCATCTTTGGACACACCATCCAAAGTCCCTTGACAAGCCATAAGGGAGTGCCAGAGGTCTCAGAGATTTTGGAGGTGTCCCTAGTCTTTACATTTTGATGCCAAGTGAGGTAGTGTCTGCCTCCTGGAACCTGCTCTTGAAGTCAGGGTGTGGTGGCTCTGTCCAGTGCTGCAAGAGCATTGATGGGACATGGGTGGGATCCGAACCTTAAGGGTACACGTTATCGACTGTGGGAGGCAGAAGCCCCAAAAAAGTCAGAGAGTTCATAAAGTCCCCTGTGAGAACGCACAGAGCTAGAGCAAAATGGTA